CGGCCTCCCTTTCTTTTAAGTAAAAATAATCTGTAGGAGACATTGTGTATAATTCGGCGAAATTCCTGAAACGAGTAGGGAACTTGTGTTGACAAGTTCTTCGTCATTTGTTTCGTTGTCGACAGCTGACAAAATTATTTTTAGCGTGTAAGTAATTTGAATTATCACATTTTCTTTCCCCTCTCATTCGCAATTTTACTTATTACAGTTGGGAAGGCCAGGGATTGGATGAAGTGGGCAAGGAAAAAGACACCGGAATCGTACGTGTCCGAGTTAATCCACACTATTTCAGACCTACAGAAGTGGTAAGTCTATTTAATCCTCCTTACACAATGTTGTGTATTGTTCGATTGAAACGTCCACCCACCTGAACTGTCCTCATGACTGGGCGTGTTCACGCTCGGCTACTGACGCAAGAAATCATGTCGATAATTAAAGAGCAACTAACAACGGTGTAGTCAAGGAATTGTGGGAAAGGGCATGCTTATTTTGTACTTATGATTATGGTTATTGTGATCGTCAGCAAACAATATTCAAACGTCAGGTTTTCGATTTATGCCCGAGTCAGTTTTTTTAAGGTCAAGGGCGTGAATATCAACACTAATATGAGACAAGCATTCCACTAACACACTCGTCAGATCAAGAGTTCATTTGGCTTTGCCGCCCCCTGAATTGACTGGATCCGGTCCAACCCCTCCCCCCAAGTTTTCTTTCTCTGGGGTTGGGGGTTGCTAATGGGCCCCAGAATATCATTTGGTTCTTTGATTTTTTTTCGTACACGCGTTATTTGTGAAGATTTACTTGAAGGATACATGCAGAGGAGTAAAGTTTTCGCCAGTGAATACTCGCCTAGCAACGTATATATTTTATAGGTATTACCGGCAAAGATAGTTATTCCTGGCTTTATTGGCCGTCGTCAGCTAGCGGTAGCTAACTCTAGTGTAGCTGCTGAAATTGCTGCCACACTTGAGTTTCGAACTAGCGTCTCGCCGGTCAGGGGCAAA